CAGGATTACAGGCTGAGTCACCGAGCCCGGCATAATTTTTTGATTTATTGTAGAGAGAGGAGGTCTCACCAAGTTGCTCAGGCTGGTCTCAAACTCAGGCAATCCTCTCACCTCCACTTATTAAAGTGCTGGGATTATAAGGCATGAGCCACCGCGCCCGGCCTAAAACTAATGTCTCTTAATTGTTTTGAGCTGTTTTGTTCTGTGTTTTGTGAATACAAGATGTTATTTTATGACTTGTTAACTGAAGTCTTAATGTAATGACTGTAACAGACATCAAAATCATGAGAGGAAGTATTTTAGCAACTATCTAACAACAGTATACTAATAATCTGGAGTGGTGTGGTAGGATTTGCTGCTTTGTTTTCCTAATGAGTTAAAACCAACCAAGTAGAATACTAATTATGCACTTGAGTGTACATGACCAGGTAACAAAAACTGTTGCTTTTCTGTTACCACTTCCTCTAGGTTATATTTTACCATCAGTAGTAATGGATAGACATCAAACCTTATTTGAGAACCTCTAAAAATAAAGTTTAAAATCAATGAGGTTCCCTGTTTTTAATCATAATCTTTTTCATAATATTTTTATGACATTTGCTGAAATTTCTAGCATACCTAGAATAAAATTCAAAATTTTCTCTACTGTCTCCTATAAAATTCTATATGATGTGATCCCCACCTGCTCCTCCCACTCCATCTCACCATATTCTCCCCTCATACTTCAATCATACTGGCTGCTTGTCAGGTTGTAGAATATGCACATTCTTTCCTGGCTCCTACAAGGTGATTTCCTCATCCTTCAAGCTTTAGCTAGACTGTCTCCTCAGAGAGGGCTTTCTTATGCCCTCCTTTTCTAATTTGAACCCCTTATTCATTATCACCAAATCCAGTTCTTTTTTCCCCTTTTCCATTATACTCTATATCAAATTGGTCAACAAATACTTTTACGTTTACTTTCAAAACATGTCAGAATTCTGTTCCTTCTTCCCATCTCCATCTCTTCTACCCTAATCAAGGCCACCATCATCTCTCACTCAGCTGATAGCAGTATTCTTCTGTCACTCTCCTCCTACCTTTGTCCCATTCAGTCTGTTTGCACTGCAGCCAGTGTAATCCTGTCAAACCTCTACTGGGTTCCAACTCATTCAGGGTAAAAGCCAAGCTCTTGACCTCCTTAGTTAGGCCCTGCCCAAGTTCACCAATATTGGAGCCCCTTTGATTTGACTTCTGCCCTCCCCACTACACACACACATATACATTCTGTTCCAGCCTCATTGGGCTCCTTAATAACTCCAATCATGCTGCTTCCTGTGTTCTTTTGCACTTGCTTTGCCTCTACCTGGAATGCTATTTTCCTATATAGATGAATGGGTCACTTACTTGGTTTCTTTTTTTTTTTTTTAATTTAAGAAGTCATAAACAGCATTTATTACCTTGGTATATCACATTGGTCTTGTTGCTGTTCCTTCACATTTAAGTAGTTTTCCACCTTTCCTCCCTCCTCCCAGTCTGGCTACACACTCCATCCTGGCACTGTCATCAGCCCACAGCAGCAACAGGCTTCTTCCATCCACATCCTTAACACTATGAATTCACAGGGCCAACGTGCTGGCCCACAAACCCTAACCCTGTTGTAAGTGGATGCTTGTGAAAGAATTTGTAGTAAACCATGCCTCCCAGGATGGCTGGCTCTAGCAAGATGACTATGGAAAGTAGTAGCTTGTTGGTTGTCGCTTTTCTGGACATAGAACGGAGAATCTTTTGACTTCTGCTCAAGTTTTTACTTGTATTTTCCAGCCTTCTCTTGGTACGTTCCAACTGGTCTTGCTGTTCCCCCAGCTCCTTTATGATTTCTGAACCAATCCAGTTAGTCTCTGGCAGTCTGATGGGAGCGCTCAATACTTTGGGTGGCTCGGTTCAGGCTTTCAGTGCCTTGCAGAAGCAGCACACTTTGAGTCTGTAGCCAATTCATATGATCATTTTCTACAGCATATGAACCATATTTCATGTCTCCTCAGCCCCCAGATGTAGCTGTCCAAGTTGTCCCTCTCAACTCTTGATGGAGTTTGGCAGGTTCCTTCCGGTAGTTTCAAAGTTTAGACATCATAGGGTTACCGAAAGAGAGGAGTAGTAGTTTCTCCTCCATCTCTGCCAGCGTTTCATTTACTTCTTGTTGCTTTTCTTTTCTTTTCTTTTTTTTTTGAGTTGGAGTCTCACCCTGTCACCCAGCCTGGAGTGCATTAGCCGCTCCCGGCCACCGCAGCCTCGACCTGCTGGGCTCCGGCGATCCTTTCGCCTCAGCCTTCCAAGTAGCTGGAACTACAGGCGTGTGCTACCACGCCCGGCCAATTTTTGATTTATTGTAGAGTGAGGTCTCACCAAGTTGCCCAGGCGGGTCTCGAACCCGCGGGCTCAGGCAATCTACTCACCTCAGCCTCCCAAAGCGCGGGATTACAGGCTGAGCCACCGAGCCCGGCTCTTGTTCCTTTTCATCAAAATCTCAGATTAACTTCTCTTCGGTCCCTGCTGTCCCCAGCAGCTGCTCAAGTACCCCTTACAGGTCTTCATGGAGGCTGCAGAAGAACTCATGCAGCTTCTCAAAGTGCTCTGAAGCGGCCAAGGTGGCCATGGGTCTGGTCGCTGGTTGCCGGGCCCCTTTTAGCCAGGTGCTCCGCCATCCAGCCTTTCAGCTATTAGAGCGACTGCCCTGCCGCTGCCACCCAGGAAGAGGAGTTTCTTAACATCTTAATTCTGATGTTGCCCCTGTCACATATTCTTAAATTTCAACCTCTCACATCCACATCTCCTTGCTTTATTTTTTTCTCTCTAGCATTTATTGCTATCTATTATATATTCTATTATTCTGTCTCCCGCAGCCGAATATAAGCTCCATGAGAACAGGGAATATATCTGAGTTCCTTGTGGTTCCCAGGTACCATCTGAGTACCTAGAATGGTGTCTCATATTGTTGAATTGCCTGCATGTATGAATAGTTTTAGCATAGTGCCTAGCAACAAAAACATTCATTTGTGAATCATTGAATACTAGTAGTGGTCAGACCTGTAATCCCAGTACTTTGGGAGGCCAAGGCCAGAGGGTCACTTGCGCCCAGGAGTTCAAGACCAGCCTGGACAACATGGTGAGACCTGGTCTCTACAAAAAATTAGGCGGGCATGGTGGTGCACATCTGTAGTCCCAGCTACTTGGGAAACTGAGATGAGAGGATCACCTGAGCCCAGGAGGTCAAGCCATGATCACGCCACTACACTCCAACCTGGGCTCAAAGTGAGGCCCTGTCTCAAAAAAAAAAAAAGAATACTAGTAGTAATACCTTGCCCCTGTGTATTCAGCTTAATTTTTACAGTACTGCCTTACGTATTTGTTTCATTTGTTTTTCACAATCTTATATTGACGGGGCAGTTATCTCTCTAAGCAAAAATACTAAGTATAGTGACCTTTGAAGTCACCATATAGAAAATGTTCTAGGCCGGGCACGGTGGCTCACACCTATAATCCCAACACTTTGGGAGGCCAAGGTGAGAAGACTGCCTGAGCCCATGGTTTCGAGCCCAGCCTGGGCAACTTGGCAAGACCTCATCTCTATAATAAATTTTTAAAAAATTAGCTGAACATGGTGGTGTATACCTGTAGTTCCAGCTACTTGGAAGACTGAGGCAGAAGATCACCTGAGCCCAGCAGGTTGAGGCTGCAGTGGCCGTGAATGTGCCACTACACTCTAGCCTGGGTAACAGAGTAAGACTCCAACTCAAAAAAAACAAAAAAAGAAAGAAAGAAAATGTTCTAGTAAATGATAGTCAGAACAGGACCTCAGACCTTCCTGCTTAGAGTGTAGTACCTTTCCCATGGTGCCGAAGGAATGCTCCATAAATTTATTATGCAGATAAGTATTTCATTTACCTATGTTACAACTAGTATCCTTTTAAACTAAATTCTAGTAAAAATGTATTAACTAAATTTCCATTTCTGGAATTGAGTATAATATAAACAAATCCTGTCTTACGTGCATATATTCCTAAAGAAAGAGAAACTTGGAAAATAAAATTTAATATACAATACTGTACCCAACGCAAGTATAAGCTACTGACATGTAATTACCTCAAACCATATTGCTGCTTTGGTTTTTTGATTTGCTCATCTTGGAGAAAGACATGAAACAAAGTGGGAAAAAACGAGAGACCTAGGGCATTGCTCTTAATGCTGATGTATTTTTCCTTTTCTTGACTTAATAGTTTTTAGTCCCCTAAGGAGTACAGGATATATGACAATAAACTTTGCTTTGACAGTTGTATTCACAGTGGCTGGTTTCATGGGAACTTTAAAGATTTTGAAAGATCTGCTTATACGTTGGCTCAAAGGTCCATCTGAAAAAGTAGACTGTCAGAGTAATAATATGTTTTGTTTTTTTTTTTGAGTTGGAGTCTCAGTCTGTCACCCAGACTGGAGTGCAGTGGCCGCTCCCGGCCACCGCAGCCTCGACCTGCTGGGCTCCAGCGATCCTGCCGCCTCAGCCTTCCGAGTAGCCGGAATTACAGGCATGTGCTACCACTCCCGGCTGATTTTTTGATTTATTGTAGAGATGAGGTCTCGCTGCCCAGGCAGGTCTCGAACCCGCGGGCTCAGGCAATCCACTCACCTCAGCCTCCCAAAGGCGTGGGATTACAGGCTGAGCCACCGCCCAGCTAGAATAATAATATGTTTATTCCTTTAGCAAATAATTATTATTTTAGAAGTCACAACACTGAATGATCAATTATTCCTGAGCTAATGACTGTATCTCCATAAAGTAGATTGCTGTTTTTCACTTCTTACATATATGGGTATATAAGAGAGTACTTTACCTGCTTAAAGGCCCCAGTTAAACTGAATTTTAAGTAGAACTCTGGTTTCCTTTTATGCCATTCCACCTTTCAGTGAGATCTGACTTAAATGTTGAAGTGAGATATTTGTATTGTTCTAAGATTCATTTGTTGTGCTAGATCTCCAGCTTGCTGCTGAACTTGGGAAGACGTTACTTGATCGGAACACAGAGTTGGAGGAGTCTCTTCAGCAGATGTATACAACCAATCAGGAGCAGTTACAGGAAATTGAGGTAACTGACTTAGTAGGAGAGTTACACTTTGAGGTGTGGCACATTGCTGATATACCTACCAATCATAATACTGCTAAAATAACACTTGCAATTAGAAGCAGCATTTAATTTTTTTTTTTTTTAGTTGGAGTCTCACTCTGTCACCCAGGCTAGAGGGCAGTGGAATGCTTCCGGCCACCACAGCCTTGAACTGCTGGGCTCAGGTGATCTTTCCGCCTCAGCCTTCCAAGTAGCTGGAACTACAGGCACGTGCCACCATGCCTGGCTAATTTTTTATTTTTTATTTTTTTTGGTTTATTTTAGAGATGAGTTCTTGCCAGGTTGCCCAGGCTGGTCTTGAACCTGCGGGCTCAGGCAATCCTCTCACCTTGGCCTCCCAAAGTGCTGAGATTATAGGTGTGAGCCACCCTTCCTCGGCCTAGCATTTAATTTTTAATACAGACTTTTTTGAGAATAAGAATCATCAGAGAGGCTAAGAGGTCTGAGATCTGACTTAAATGTTGAAGTGAGATATTTGTATTGTTCTAAGATTCTACTTTTTTTTAGGCTTTCCCAACATGTAAGTCTGTTATGATGAGATTTCTCTCTTAACCCTTGGTGAAGCATACTGGAAGTAAATGATGCAGTGTTTGCCAGTAAGTGAGGGAAAATGAAGCTGTGAGCACTGGGCACAGTGCTGCGTGCACATAGTCCAAGCTATTCAAGAGGCTGAGGCAAGAGGATCGCTTAAGGCCAGAACTTCGGGCTATAGTGCACTTTGATTGCCCCCTATGAATAGCCACTGCACTGTATTCTAGACAACATAGCAAGCCCATGTCTCTTAAAAATTAATTAATTTTTAAAAGATTTCAATAAGCCGAGCTCGGTGGCTCAGCCTGTAATCCCGCGCCTTTGGGAGGCTGAGGTGAGTGAATTGCCTGAGCCTGCAGGTTCAAGACCCACCTGGGCAGTGAGACCTCATCTCTACAATAAATCAAAAATCAGCCGGACGTGGTAGCGCGCACCTGTAATTCTGGCTACTCGGAAGGCTGAGGTGGAAGGATCGCCAGAGCCCAGTGGTTCGAGGCTGCGGTGGCTGGGAGTGGCCACTGCACTCCAGTCTGGGCAATGGAGTAAAACTCCAACTCAAAAAAAAAAAAAAAAGATTTCAATAAACATCCAAGTACCCACCACCCAGCTTAAGAGAGAAAACTACCCACACTATTGAAGTTCCCTCTATACACCCTCCCACTATCTCCCTCCCACTATCAAACACCATCCTAAATTGGGGTTTAGATAAAAATTTAAAAGTCACAGTACCTGGGCCTGGCATACAAAGCTCATACAAAGAAAAATGTAAAAGACTCTAGAACAGTGAAGCAGTTCATTATAATCCACACTTACTAAACTGATTATGTACTAAACCAGGTGCTGGGAATTCAAAGAAGTAGATTTACACAGCGCTTGCTTTAGAAGCAATCACTTCACACAAATTTCAACTTTTGAATACAAATAAATTTATTGTCAAAATAAGACAAATTATAATCTCAATATCCATTAATTTTACTTAGTACAAAAGGTGTATACAATAGACCTTCTCCTTCAACAGGATTTAGGAATACAGCCAGTGACATGACTGAAATGTACTTTTACCATTCTAGGAAGGTATAACCTTTGATGATATCGAAGTTACCAGGTACCATTTTTTTTAGCACATTCTTCATCAAAAGAGCATAGAACATGCCATACCCTAAACTGAATTTAGTAACTTATAGAGTGCAAGAAACCTAAAAATGCAGAAAAAACAGACATTTAAAAACTATTAAATTAGGCCAGGCTCGGTGGCTCAGCCTGTAATCCCACCACTTTGGGCGGTCGTGGTGCCCCTGGGTTCAAGACCAGCCTGGGCAACTTGGCAAGACCTCCTCTCTACAATAAATAAAAAATTAGCTGGACTTGGCAGCACGTGCCTATAGTTTCGGCTACTTGGAAGGCTGAGGTGGAGGATCACTGGAGCACAGCAGGTTGACACTGGGGTGGCTGTGAGTGTGCCACTGCACTCCAGCCTGGGCGACAGAGTGAGACTCCAACTCAAAAAAACAAACCAACTATTAAACTAGTTTTATGTGATCAAGGAACTCTTTCCTGCTCTGTTTCTTAGACTTTGTTTTTCAATTCATTGGAAGATTTCAGAGTATTCCTAGACTATCATATACTGTGAGGTACATTTATTTATATTTGGATTTAGACATAGTCTTAATACATTGTATTGATGTTTCCTATGAGAGAATTTATAAAATACTATAACTCACTTATTTTAGCATATCTTCCAAGTATAGATAAAATATCTGTGCAATTAGGAGAATTAGGCCTATTGGTTAGTGTTGGAGATTACAAGCACAATTGTTTTATGATCTAAGCTGTTGTCTTTCTTTGTTTTCTGTGGTATCAAGGATGATTAGGCAGTTAAGACAAATCATTGGTATTCTGAAAGAATACGGACATCTTTGAGATTCTCTAAATCATTACATTACAAATAACACTCCACCAGCTAATGTCACCCACAAGATGTTGTAAAGCATAATGGAAATGAAATATCCAGTTCATACTTTAATGATTCGATAAATATAAAATTAAATTCATCTATAAAACTTTCAGTTCAAATAAATTTAGCCTGGACTACTTCTGGAAACATTTTCATGAGTCTTTTGTTTCTATAATAGAGATGTGGTCCATTGGTTCATAGATCTGAGCGTTGCGGAATTCAGTATACTCCAAAACTATTTTTTGGGTAAGAACAATCACTGTCTTAGATTTCTTTTCCATCATTGTAGTTGACTTTCTTCTTCTTCTTCTTTTTTTAAAAAATAAATTGCTTCATGAAAGTAAATAGGGATGGGATGAAATGGTGAGATGAGATGGCAGTACTGGCTAAACTCACTTACTAGCCAGGGTACTCCCACGGGCTGGCCTTAACTGCCTGCTTGTTCACATCTGTTTCGGGAAGCCTTACAGATCACAGCATAGACTTCTGAGATCTCTTTCTAGTAGTCCAAAATAAAGAATGCCTGATGCTTATAAAAGTAACTAGGTAGCCAAAGAGCCTACTTTCCTGCTAAAAGATGACCCTTGTACTATATTCCTTGGATTACAAACTTTAGGAACCCCCTAAACTTTATAAGGACTCTTTCTTTAATTTGAACCTTTTCAACTTTTTCTCTTTACCTAAAACTTTTTACTGAAATGTATTTACAGAAAAGAACACAAACTCTAAGTGTACAGTTTGATGAATTTTCATAAAGTAAACAAGTCCAGTGCAACCAGCACCCAGATAAAGAGTGAGAGCGTTATCAGCTTGTCCAGTCATCACCCCCACTAACCAGCATCCTAACTACCTAGATAAGTTTAGCCTGTTTTTGAACTTTACATGAATGGAATCACTTGTACAAGTTTTAAACTAACTTGTTAGAATGTTTATTAGGAGTTTTCCTCATTAGAAAAGTAATATATGATCATTTCTTAAATATTGAAAAATATATAGTTGAAAACCAAAAAATGAGCTCTTAACTCACCACTCAGAGAAATTTAAAATGAGATAGTCCGAGTAAATGAAAAATAGTGAAGAATTGGTGGAAATACTTGGGCAAGGTCCCCCAAACTCTAACTTCTTTTGGATATAAACAACTAGAACACTGCCAAAGGGTATTTTGTAAGTGGAACTACAAATATCTTTTCAAAGACTGTGTGGGTTTCAGACAGTCCTCATAAAAATTGATCAGTATTTTTGGTAGGTATCATTTTTTTTCTTTGAGTCAGGGTCTCACTCTGTCACCTAGCCTGGAGTGCAGCAGTGTGATGACAACCCACCACGGCCTTGACCTCCTGGGCTTAGGTGATCCTCCCACCCAAGGAGCTGGGATTCCAGGTGGAGTGCCACCATGCTGGCTAATATTTTAATTTTTTGGAGAGACGGAGTCTTGCCTAGGCTCAAGCAATCCTCCCATCTCAGCCTCCCGAAGTGCTGGAATTATAAGTGTGAGTCACTGTTCCCAGCCTAGGTATCATTTTTTATGTGATAGGAAGAAGAAGAAGAAGAAGAAGCTGTTAAGAATAATGGTTCCGCCGGGCTCGGTGGCTCAGCCTGTAATCCCGCGCCTTTGGGAGGCTGAGGTGAGTGGATTGCCTGAGCCCGCGGGTTCGAGACCCGCCTGGGCAGGCGAGACCTCATCTCTACAATAAAATCAAAAAATTAGCTGGGCGTGGTAGCATGTGCCTGTAATTCTGGCTACTCAGAAGGCTAGGTGGAAGGATCGCTGGAGCCCAGCAGGTCGAGGCTGTGGTGGCCCGGGGGAAAAAAAAAGAATAATCGTTCTCCACTGGCTTCAGAGAAGTCTGTAGGAATCCAGAGCAAGTTTTTCTCTCCTGTTTGGGGTAAAGGGGAAAGGTGAGAAACTCTGGAGAGTAATGAGATCTGACACCATCAGACAATTGGATTCACTTACACTTTCCTGCAATCATGTAAGCCTACAACCTTGTGTTCTTGTGACTTCTTTGCTTGATGTCTGCATTATTCCCCACAGGAGTTGTACCTACCACTCAAAGTGTCTGGCCTTCAAGGTGTTCCTTCTTTCAAGAGTTCATGCCCTCCTTGGAAATTTGAAAGCATTTTGTGCTACTTGTACTGTATTTATCATTATTGTACTATACATTATACTTATCAATTTGTTTTATTCTGCCTTTCCCCCATTCCCCATTGTAACATTGTTGACTGTTACTGTGTTTTTTCATGGGCTTTTGAACATAGTAGGTAATTAATAAATACTTGTTGAAATTAGCACCTTATAAATACAGGATAAACGGTTTACAAAGTTCTTCTAATAATTCCTAAACTGGGTTTCCACCTATCCAGATTTTTTTTTTGAGTTGGAGTCTTACTCTGTCGCCTAGACTGGAGTGCAGTGGCACGCTCCCGGCCACTGCAGCCTCGACCTGCTGGGCTCCAGCGATCCTTCTGCCTCAAG